GGGAAAAGGATCGCGAGTCTCTTGACCAATCCCAGGACTGCCCTGCCCAAAAGGGCTGTCTCCACTCTCAGGAACCACTGGGACAGAAAGCCTGTCTACGAAACTCCTGCTGGGGCCACCTATCTGACCGTTTGGAGGGTATGCCAGAACCTTGCGTTTTTCCTTGCCCTCAATAATGTGCGGTTCAAGGATTGAGCCGAATAGCTGTGTACCGCTACATTTGGACGTGGACAGATGCCACTTTGACTTCAAGTCAGTTCTCCACTGCTTCAGCCACAGTAACCTACGAGAGGCAACCGTGGCTGCAATAGATCTAGCAGAGTATCTGGTTGAATGAAGGGAAGTGTCTGCCATGTACTCTGAAGCAGCCACCAGCTTCCCTAGTGTCTGATGTGTTCGAACCTGATCCGGGGGAACGACTGCTGCAGTTCACGGAGCCACATGATTGAAGCCCTTGCGAAGAAAGACGATGAAGTTGCAGCCTTGATCGCCCATGCCGACGCCTGGTGCGCTTGGGTGAAGGGAAAGCTCAAATTTCTTGTCTTCCGCTTTCAGGGCTTCAGCCATATCCCCTGGAATAGCAGATGTGGAAAACAAAGAAGTCAGAGGAGTGTCAACAGAGGGCACCTCCAAGAGGAAAGCAAATGAAGAAGAAACATTGAATAGTTTCTTCTCTGTACTATTGGGAGAAGGCAGAGTAGCCAGGGATGACCACTGTTTCTCCACTGTAGTACGGAAAACCTGTGGACAAGGAATCTGCTTGTCCTCCACAACCTGTCCTGCAAACAACAGGTTAGATTCCTGGCTGGTGGAGGTAGAAGGTTTCTCCTCCTGTACTGAAGTGAGGTTGGCGGTGGTACAGGCCTTCATCAGGAGAGACCTGAAAAGAGAAGGGTCAAAAAGCCCCGAAGTTGGTGCCTGTTCAGACGCTGCCTCCTCATCCTCTGACATGGGTGTGTCAGCTATCTCCAGGTCCACAGACCCCTCCTCCCCTAGCTGGGAAGAAGTCTCAGAGATGCCTGAACCGGGGGCTGTGGTACATCCCGCTTGAGAAGGAGGAATAAAAGGAGGCGATGGTGGTTGCAAGGGTCGTTGTCCCCTAGAAGACATGAATTGCATAAACGCATTGTACATGAAAGCCTGAAACTGATCTGACCACATATCTCTTTGTTCAGAACTAACCCCAGCCTCAGCTGGAATAAACGTGGCCTCAGGTCCTTGATGAGTAGAAGATGATGATGAGCGAGAGGGACCAACCTGTTCAGTTTCCCCCTGAGGAGACCAAGCCCTGGAGGCATCATGAGAAGATGCGAATGGAGGCTCAAATGGGGAGTTGTCCAATGGAACGGGGGGAACCACTTCAGCTTCACTGGACATGAGCCTTTGGGCTTTGGAGAATTCCCTCTCCAGTGCCAGATGTCTCCTCGAGGCCTCTCGCTCGGCTGCCTTGGAGGGCTCCTTGGTGGAGATGTGTTTTGTCTTAGCCTTTTTCTTTTCCCCCACGTCCAAATCAGTAGATGTGCGCTTTGTTTGTGCGGGGGGAATACCAGAGCCCTGTGGTGCCTGGGGTGACGAACTGTCTGCCATTGCAGTCTAGATAATCCAGGTAGGAGATATCCAGGAGTGGGGGGAACCCAAAATGCAGATCTAGTTGACAGAGATGGAAAACGATCCTCACTCTGCACAACAGCAATGGCAAGGACAGCCAGACAGCTCCCTAGAACTGCCTGTCTAGGCCAGTGACAAATGCCACACTCTAAGTGGAACAGATGGTCTAAAAGTAATTTCCCCTTCGCTCAACTCACACCAGAAATAATTATATGTGACAGAACCACCAATGAGTAGTTAGAACAACAATGCCAATACAGACCAGGAAATCTGTGATTCTCCCGAGAACAAGCTGATAACTTCCCCCCGGTTAAAGGCCTGACAACACAGGCCAGTGATAAATAAGGCAGGCCTCAATGCCTTGGAGAGGAACACGAGGTCCCCACAAACTGGCTTCCGTGCCTAAGGACACTCTCAAAATGGCGGCTGTGTCCTAAATCACACTCAAAATGGTGGCCGCTCCCAATAACGCTTCCAAAATGGCAACCGCGTCCTGCGCACACAGTCAAAATGGCGGCCGCGCCCATTCAGTGCTTCCAAAGAAAGGCGAAGATGCCAAAAGAGGGGAATAGAAGGGAATCAACCCCCCTGCTAGATTGAGAATTCTAAGGAACAACCAATTTAAATAAGCACTCTCCCCCTTTCATGAAAAGGCACTTGCTATTAGTTGCACAGCCTCCGCTGCGATTCGAATTCTGTGGCCGAGAGGAGCCTCATTGCGACGAAGCCAAAAGGGAAGCCTCCAAACAGCCTGAGTCTCGAAAGGACTCCAATCTCCGAAAGCCAGCTAGTCGGTTGGTCCGCGCTCCGCTGATCCGCTTGATCAGAGGTGAAAACCCCCGCTCGAAAAAACGGCCTGCAGCCTTCTTCACAGGAGCCTGTTAGGCTCGAAGCCAGAAGGCCTTTTCAAATTTCAATTTAAATTTTTGCTAATTCAAGTTCCAATTGCAAAAACAAAAAGAAACACTACAATTTAGATAACTAAAAGTATTAACTCAATCAGAATAAAATAGATGATCAATTAACCTAGCCTAGCTAAGGAGCCAAAAATTTTGCACCCTACTGAGCCGAGACTAAGCCCAGAGGGAAGTGTGGCCAAAGTTCTGACCTAGTCTCTTCTGAGCAGGAAGGCTGAAATTACCCACCGGTGGATTCTACACTCATTATGCTGGAAAACTACCTATATAAATAAGAGCTCTTTCCATACAAAGGTAAACATTAGAATCATTAAGAATAATTATTATAAGTGCATGGATTTAGATGGAATACATTTTCCGCCAAGCTGTTAAAATTAAAGAGTTCCTGGTGCTCTCTGAGTTTGGTTCTTTGCTTTCATTATCCAACTGGGTAACATCGTCAGTGCAAGTGAATGGAGCTTGCTGCCTGTTTATTTATAGTAGCTTATCCTGCCAGTTTAGTGGCAATGTGGTTTCCTCCTAATAGTTCCTTGAGCGCAATATTATTTTCTGCCTGATTGCCTCATTTTGATCTCTGTTTATTAGTGTTGGCTGCTAGAAGGAATTTATTCTAGTCTTTTTATTTCCTTCCTAAGTTTTTTATTGTCCCTTTTGGATGGTGTGCAAATGTACTTTATCTCTATGTACCTACACTTTCATTGTTTAATTTTTATTTCAATACAGGAAAACATATCATCTTTTAATATATCTAGCAATACTATTGAGTTTCTGTACATATAAAGTACAAATATTTATCTAGTAAGGTAGTTGTATGTATTTGATTTTATAGCGATAAGTACTGTGTGTTATCATAGGAAAGAAGAGCATAATAAATGATATTTTCTAAAAGAAATTTCTGCTCCATACCCGATTTAAAGATTAAAGAGCAAGATGAGAAAGCAGTGCCTTTGAAATTACTCACTGACAATTGGACGTCTGATCTTTGGACCACGTATGCACTTCATCAGACCACTATCAACTAAATGACAAGCAATATTTCTATTCAGATTACAATGCAGCAACAGTTTGATTTAAAAGACCTTCATACAGTAGACTATGAATGCAATAAATAGTTGTCCACAATTCCCCTTGGAATAAAGAAGTCCACTGTATCCAAAATAGTTCAGATGGGGCAATAACATTCTCAATTTATCACACTCATACTCTGTACAATCACACACAATTCTCGGGGGTTTACAAAAATTGCAAGTGACCCAAGCATTTAAATAAAGTATCCATGCCATGAATTACAACCATAAAAAAAAGAATAATTAAAAACAACCAACTATATTGTCCTGTTTCTCTCAAAAAGCCCATCCGGGATGATTCACTTTTGAGTGTTTCTGGGAGGCTAGGACACTAGGGGATAATTTAATTTCTGAGAGGAAACTCTTCCATAAAACAGGTGTTGTTACTGATAAGCATCTCTTTTATGGAAAGGACCTATGAGCCCCAACCCAATACCCTGAAGAGGTGACAGATTATCAACAATTTCTCCTGGAATGCACAGTCAAATTGGTCCTGCAAGTATCTCAGTGTCAAGTCATGCAGGGCTTTATAACAAAACAACCAGTACTTTATTGCAGCTGGAAGCCAAGAGATACCCAATGGAAGACTTGGACTACAGGTGTAATGTCTTCATAGTAGTGAGTGTCAGCTAATAGTTGAGTTGCTACATTCTGGGCCAAGTGAAATTTCTCAGTGGTCTTAAGACCCAGTGGTCTTTAGCAGAACACAATGCACCAGATATGGGAGAAGAAGGATTATTTTCTCTTTCATTTAGGTGTATGTGACATGCAAGCAGAGTCAGGGCAATTTCCAAATTTTTAACATGCTGAGCCCAAAAGGTTTGCCATTACTGTTCTAGCATATGGCTAATATTCAACAAAAGCTACTGAAAGACACAATGTGGCATAACTAGGGAAGAATCTTTATTATGTATTACAGTTTAGTTACTTGACGCAATTGATTGCTGTCTACCAATATAAGGATACCAACTCCTCAAACCAACTCATTATCAAAAATCGAGTGTGCGTATCTCAAATTATGCCTCTAGTGAACATGTGGATGTGAGCCTGAAACCAGTTTATTTCCAGCATAATTGAAAAAATGAAAGGGAGGGGGACCAAATACAGTAGTTGAAGGAATTCTTGGTGTTTAGACTATGGTGAATTGTACTGGTTCACTGTATTCCTGGAGCATAAGAGCTAGTATCAGTTGTTTCAAGGCAGAAAGTCTTAGCAGGTAAGGCATATCTATAAACAATACAGAACTCAATTCAGTTTCCAGTAGCATTAATGACTATACTTGGATTTTTATGCTTGCATAGGCAATGTCATTGGAATATTTAAATGCTAATGAGTAGCTCTATAGGTTTGAGCTCTGCTTGCTTCCCAATTGCCATTGGAGATGGGGCTACATTATTTACTGCCATACCTGATTGGGAAAGTGCCTCTTTATAATGATGGTAGTTTGCTGGTGCTGGGCGGATGGGGCTCACTCATCAGTACCTCAGCCAGATTCTGCATAATACAAACAAACTCTAGCATTCAGGTTTATCATCGCTTGGGCAGTAAACAGAATTCTTCCATTTTCCAGCCGCATAAATACAAGTTCTGAAGTTATCTATGTATGGGAAAAGGTGAAGGCATAAGAAAGTGAAACCAAATATTTCCCTTTCTGTCTACACTTGTTTGCAGTTCTTCAAGCTTTCCATTTATGCCAAAGAAAATAAGTACAATCATGATGTCTGGGATGTTTTGACAAAGTAGTTAATCTTTTATTTAATCAGACAAGGCCTCTCTAAACAGGTCAACCAAGCTGTTTGATTCAAGTTCACACCTTATGTCATCAGTTGAATTCTGTAATGGCGGTAGTCCTTGAATTACGACAGTTCACTACTGATTATTCAAAATTACAACACCTCCATTAAGTACTTATGATCCAGTTCCGAAGTTATGTTACAGCACTATAGCAGTCATTTGCCTTTACGACAAAGACAGTGCAACAGACCCTGTGCCTATTTTCCCCCCATTCTGACCTGCCAGGTCTCCATAGGCACTGGGCCTACTTTGCTAACTCACCGGGTTGTAGGTGCTCATTCCCACCATCACTGATTGCTCACTTACCTTTCGAAGATCTCCAGAGCTCCAGAACAGGCTGGGCCATGTGGCAGAAAAGTGGCCATCTTTTTCTTAGACACTGGTGAAGCTGTTTTTCTTAGATCTTGTGTTCTTACACGTGCTTCTTTTTGCACAGAGAACAAAATTGTCTGTAAGAACGTGAGACTGATCACGTCCCTGCAGGTCTTGTCTGGCCCTGGCCTGAGCAGTGCCTTGGGGGCATTCTGCATGCTGCTGAGTGGCTGCTTCCAATGAGCTGCTTCAGGGATTGCGGTGCAAAGGTAGCAGCAACCACCAATCAGCACAGGGCATTTTTCGTGCTGGTTTTGGTAGTAGTAGTAGTAGGAGGAGCAGGACTGCAGGGCTGTTGGGCGGCCAGCCAGGGTAGCAGTGGGAAAGCTGAGCCGGTGCTGTTGCTGGGGACACCTGAGCTCCTTGCAGCAAACCAGGTCAGGGCAAACACTGCACTTGTCCATCTTCTGCAGTGTCCTGGATGCACTTGTCCATCTTCTGCAGTGTTCTGGATGCATTGGGTGGGCACCCCCATGGCTGCCCACATCTCTAAGACAGTCCACTCCCAGGTTCATGGGCCCACAGGTGCCTCCCAGCCCACCCAATCTCCCCACGGGTATGCCGGCAAGCAAGGGGTATGAAGCAGCTGGTGCACCAAGCTCTCCCTCTGCCTTCATGATGGCCAATTGGCAAGGTACGGGTGCCAAACCTCCATCCACCTCCAGCCAAAACCAATCTCAAATGGAAGCACTTTCCCCATTTTTCCCACAGTTTAACAGATACCTTCCTTGGCATTTCTCAGGTTTGGTGCTAAATAGTTTGTTTACCTAATGTATACCTTGAGAAACTCAAGTTTCCAATCTATCTCCTACAAAAAGAATGAAATTTACATGCAGAAAGCAAAGAAAATGACATCACTTTTATTTTGTAGGTGTTGAAGTTAAGAGTATCTCAGTTTCTTTCACAGTATCTCTTTAGGCCTAATTGCCCTTTTAGATGGCCCTATCCATTATTTTCTTTGTTCTATTTCTTCTATTGAAACTTAATATTTTTCTTAAAGCATAATGTGTTTGTTATTGTGTGTTTCATAAACTCTAAAGACTATTAGAAACATACATATTTTGGTAATATAGTAGGGACTTCTTGGGGGATGGGGGACAAAGGCATTTTATTATTTTTTCCTTTCTTCTATGGAGGAAAAAAAGTGGCAGCAAAACCTACTAGTTGATATACTACTGTATCATCTCAGGCTGTCTTAGTAGACATGAAAAATCATGGTGTTTATAGACCTTTACAAATAGGTAAAACAAGAGACATCTATTGACAGCTTACATCAAAGCTCGAATTTAAAATACCTGTTCCTTTGCATTATTACTTCCACATTAGCTACAATCTTAGTTCCAATCTTATTCCCAAAGAGTAATTCATTTAATTTTACCTAAGAGGTATTTAAAATTACTTAATGTTTGCAATCTTAGCTGCAAAATAATCCCAAATAAACATGAAAGGTTGTATACATTTTTGAAAAACTGGCAATGTATAAACAGAACTTGTTCTCTAAACAAGAACTTGAAATTGATGTTAAAATAGCATAGCCTGTTATATTTTATTAATGAAATAATAGCTATATATTCCTATCTTAAGTAGTAATGTAAAAATTAAATTGCTGCCAACTTAAATAAGTCAACAAATAAAAAACTGGTACCTGAAGCAAGTAATTCATGCTGAATCCTTTGGAAGCATGATTATGGAAAATAGTAAAAATAGTAAAAGCAAAATACCAATTCTGAAGTCACTATGTATTGCTTATCTTACCGTCTTCTGAAATGCTGACAGAATTTAATGAAATACAAGCAACATACAAAGGTTGAGATTACAAATTATGGGTTATAGCATTCTTAGACTTTGAATGGAGAGAAGAAGATTGATATGCCTCAAAATTCTATTTCATTGAAAATGAATAGTACTGTTAACGTAGTATACAAAATATAATAAAACCATAATCATTGTTAAATATAATATGAATTTTAAGAATAGTATAACAAAATCCTTGAAAGAGAATCTATCCTTTATCCCAACAGCTAAGCAAGATAGGTTTTCCTCAAATCACCAATATGCATCACAGTTTCTACAGGGTGGGCACTTTTGTACAAGCAATATAAGGATCACCATGCATGTGCTCAATTTACTAATTTGATAGCAATATTTTCAATTTTCACAGAACTTCCAGGTGTATGGAATGTACATTTGAGATACATATCAATCCACTATGGTTAGAGTCTTTAAGATCACTATTTCAAAATCATTTAATGTGAGTGGGGAAAGGGGGAAATAGACCAGGCATTTTTCACTTGGGCAATCAATATATTTAGGCTCTGCCTAAATATAATTATTTTTATTATAATTTACTAGCTGCCAACTCTGATGTACTCTGGGGAAAGTACAAAACTGGGGAAAAGGTAAAAACAACCAAAACATTTAATCAGACAGCCCAGACAAAAATAAAGTAATAGACAGCAAAAACAACAAAACAGGGGCCATTGATCAAATAATCTCAACAATAGGCCTGGGACCAGAACCAGTTTTCAAAGCTTTCCGGAACCCTAAGGGAGAGGAGGGTACTATCCTTAAGTCTAAGGGACTGCTATTACAGAGGGTGAGGGCCAGAACAAAGATGTGTGCTTCTTAAGATCCCACAAGAGGCAATGTTTAATGAACAGGACTTGGAGCTTACCTTTTCTGCTGAAATGTACTGAACAGGCAGAAACAAAGTTTCTTACCACAACTCTGAAGATAATCCTGTGGTCCAACCATCCAAGTAGGAAGTGGGTCACCCTAAACAGGGCCACCATGTAACTAGTAGCAGACATAATAAGGGTGGATATTTTTCCACCCTTATAGACATGATCTAGATCTTAATATGGATTCTTACTTGTGTTCAGTCCAATTCTCACTTGGTCCTTGTCCAGTGACACTCTAGAGTCTAGGCACTGCTTCTGGTGTTTCATCTCTTGGAGCTTTTTGAAAACCCAAGGAGAACCCCAAGAGGCCACAGAAGATGAATCCAGTCGAGGGCCTCTGTCACATGCCTATATGAGGCTGTAGGTAAGACCTCAGCCAAAGTGCCTGACAGCTCCTTGGGCAAAACCTGTATGTATGTACGTACGTACGTACGTACGTACGTACGTACGTACGTACATACATACATATATGCATGCATGCATGTATCTGTATGTGGATGAAAAAGCACTAAGCAATATTAAATCAACCAAATCCATATAAGCAAGAGTCTACCACACTTGATATGACCTGAAGTGCAGACGTGTAGAGAGGCCTCAGAGACATAATAAGGCAATACATAGTGACAGGGTGTAAGACATAGGCAAGAACAGCATATACTGAATGGCACAACCAAGTAGTGGCATTGTGTCCAGGAAGATCTGTACAATGAATAGACTGACTCTTTCAAGTCCAGATGGTAAATTACACAGAAGGTTGTGAAGACTAAAATCCTGTGGGAGTTCCAGAGCCGAATGCACAGGAAAGTATTAGCCAATCAACCAGACATCATAATAGTAGACAAGGACTAGAAGACAGTGCTGGTGATAAATATAGGGGTGCCAAGTGACAGTAATATCAGGAAGAAAGAGTATGAAAATCTAGAGAAGTACCACGGCCTGAAGGACCCAAGACTGAGGAAGATACATACCACCCAAAGGAATGAGAAGGAAATTTGCTGGCTGTTGCCTTTAAAGCCCTTTGTGTTTTGGGACTGGGACCATCTTACTTATGGAACTATCTCTCCCCAGTTGTTTCTACCCATCCTATCTGATCTGACAGGAAGGGATATTATCAGGTAGGAAGTGTTGGATGGTAAAGCCCAGAAAAAGAGCCTTTTCTGCCATGGAGCCCACTGTTTGGAACATCGTTAGACTGGCCCCATTCCTCCTAACCTTTTGTAAGCCCTTGAAAAACGTGCTTTGTGCTCAAGCTGGAACCCTGTGTATAGATCAGTTTTAGTCTCTTGGCTTATGCATAATAGGTTACATCATGCCCGACTGCTTTGTATTTTTATTTATATTTTGTATTTTTATTTGTTTAATTGTTTAAGCTGCCTAGAGTCACATAAAAGTGATGGGGTAGCTATGTAAATTGAATAAACTCTGTGTGTGTGTGTGTGTGTGTTTGTGTGTGTGTGTACATCTATGTCTATATGTATATGTACATGTATATGTACATCCATACATACATACAGATTTTGTTTCTGGAGAATCTAATGTTCCTGTCAGGCAAGGGAAATTATAGAGACACATTTAAAGTGAGTTATGTGCAGGAAAAATCCACTACGTTTCATATGCCCATAAACTGTGCAGCAGTAAAACATTAATAAGCATATCGGTATTTGTTTGCCCATGAAGATGCTGGGGACACGGGGGGGGGGAATTATCATACTGGGAAACCTGCCAAAAAATGTAGAAAAAAGAAAGTGAATGATGAAAGCTAAAGAAATGGAAAAATAACTTAGGGCAAAAATTTAAAGCAGTAAAGGAAGAATAAAATTAAAGGCTTAGCTATTTTACTGGAGTGTCAGATTCTGCACACTTTACAGATTGATTACCCAGTTAGGGCCAAATACAGCTCCTCTGGGAATGCATTCCATAGCACTGGAATTAGGCAGAGGATCCTCTTGTGCATGTCAGATAAATAAACCTCTGGCAGTGAAGGTATTTTCAGAAAGGCATCTCTTAGAGATCTTGAGCCGGTTTGTAACAGAAAGAATTCCTCAGACTAGCATATCTCTTAGGATATCTTAAAGATATCATAAGGATCTTAAATTATGCTTGGTAAACAAGTCAGTTAAGTGCAGAGCTTTTAAATATCACCATCATCATAATCACTATCATTATTATAATCTGGCAAAGCATTCAGAATCTTGATGGCCCTACAAAATTATAAAATACAATAGAAAATCCATAGCAAATAAAAATAATTACAGTAAGCAATCATGATAAGAAATAAACTAAACGATCACCATAATACCACAAAAAAGCCCAACTTGTTGAATCAAGACTAAAAATAGCAGTTACAAAAAGCAAACAAAAAATTAGACACTATAACAATGACAAAAAACTACATTCCAAAAGTTCAGACTTCAGTAACTCTGAGATCACCATTATCGGCACTTTGCCAAAGAAGTATGATAGAAAAGTAAGGCTTTCCCATTTCAGCCTCCTGGGCACTACCAGTAGCTCCTCCTAGATCAGGGGTGTCAAACTGTCAGCCCGCGGGCTGGCTGAATCATGAAGAAGCCGCATCCACCCCATTGCCGGTAATGGGAGAAAAGCTCCGATACGTCACGCGACGTTATGTGACATTGTGAGTTTGACATGTCTGTCCTAGATGAGTCTTCTCAGACAGTTTGATACCTAAATCCTGACTAAAAAGAGTACAAATAATCCATTTCCTTTAGAGCGTTTTGCAACTATATGCTTAACAATTTCCCCCCAAAAAGGAGTAGGTGATAGCTGTCAATTTTGTTGACTTTTAAGAAAATGAAACAGAACTTTCAAGACTTCTGGCACTGGCAGAGAAGCAATAACCAAATTCAATAGGTCACACTAGCTCATCCAAGAGCCATGAGGAGCATGGGTCAAATACATAAGTGACAGAACCATGCCACTGAAAATCCTACCTAATTCTTCAATTTACAGGCCCAAAGGAGTTCCAGATAACAAAGTCTGACAACTGCCTAGTCACATCCGATTCTTTCTAGGAGGAGTCAAAACTCTGCAAATCCAAGTATAATCACAGAGGCTAAACAGGTGATCTTGGTCCATGTCTCCAAGTAAATATTTACTAGCCTAAACAATCATCTATCAACAAGCCATCAATATAATTGGAAGAGAAATAACAACATTTTGCCTTCCTTACTGCCACACCATAAATTCAGGTTTGGAACATATGCTTGTATACATGGTCAGTCATATTCACTTTTGGACTTCCCTCACCATTTTTTAGGTTTTTCTGACACTTCATCACCAGGAACTTTCCCTGGTTGGTAATTTAGTTATTGCATATACACAAACTGTAACTTCTAAACATTTTCCACAGGCAATTCTAAGTACAGTGTTTTGCAAAACTTGTGAATAATTTTCACAGGCCCTAAACAGTCATATATTGGCAAACTAGTCATCCATACAGTGCCAAAGCCACCACCTGTGAACCTAATAAGATTTGAAGATCAAGGATCATTTCCATATAGTGAACTTGCTATTTCAGGAGAAGTACGTATAAACCCATTCAAATAAAGAATTTTTCCAAATTTACTTTTCTACATGCCAGAATATTTCTGCTTATCTGGATTTAATTTTGGATATTTTCCCCCATCCAGCCCATTATTAAACTGATCATTAGTTACATAGTAATTAAACAGTAATCCCCCAGCACACTGTTAATATGGCCTTACAGGGTGGATCACACACAAAAGAAGCCAAATGATGCCACTTATCAATGGTATTAAAAGCTTTTTAGGGGACCAGAGACTTAGCTATATTCCTTTTGTTTCAATTTATCAACTATCCAAGCGACTGGGGGGGGGGAGAAATTCCATGTAATATTCTGTCCCACCCCCAACAGATATATGTACCTGTTCTATATATCTGTATACCATATTCCACACACAATTCCAAGAA